ATCGCAGAGGTCAGTGGTTCGAATCCCGTACAGGCCTGAATTTTTTTCAGGTCTGATTTTCACTATTGCTTAAATAGTGCTTTACTGCGAAGGATCGTGCACATATACGTTTCATAACCGCAGTTCATATATATGTATTTCATATGTTTGTTGTTTGATTTATCATCTACGGGTTTATGTCGAATTAATTTGATGGCCTGCTCCCAGTTGGCTTGTTAGCTCAATTGGTAGAGCGCTGCACTAGTATCGCAGAGGTCAGTGGTTCGAATCCCGTACAGGCCTGAATTTTTTTCAGGTCTGATTTTCACTATTGCTTAAATAGTGCTTTACTGCGAAGGATCGTGCACATATACGTTTCATAACCGCAGTTCATATATATGTATTTCATATGTTTGTTGTTTGATTTATCATCTACGGGTTTATGTCGAATTAATTTGATGGCCTGCTCCCAGTTGGCTTGTTAGCTCAATTGGTAGAGCGCTGCACTAGTATCGCAGAGGTCAGTGGTTCGAATCCCGTACAGGCCTGAATTTTTTTCAGGTCTGATTTTCACTATTGCTTAAATAGTGCTTTACTGCGAAGGATCGTGCACATATACGTTTCATAACCGCAGTTCATATATATGTATTTCATATGTTTGTTGTTTGATTTATCATCTACGGGTTTATGTCGAATTAATTTGATGGCCTGCTCCCAGTTGGCTTGTTAGCTCAATTGGTAGAGCGCTGCACTAGTATCGCAGAGGTCAGTGGTTCGAATCCCGTACAGGCCTGAATTTTTTTCAGGTCTGATTTTCACTATTGCTTAAATAGTGCTTTACTGCGAAGGATCGTGCACATATACGTTTCATAACCGCAGTTCATATATATGTATTTCATATGTTTGTTGTTTGATTTATCATCTACGGGTTTATGTCGAATTAATTTGATGGCCTGCTCCCAGTTGGCTTGTTAGCTCAATTGGTAGAGCGCTGCACTAGTATCGCAGAGGTCAGTGGTTCGAATCCCGTACAGGCCTGAATTTTTTTCAGGTCTGATTTTCACTATTGCTTAAATAGTGCTTTACTGCGAAGGATCGTGCACATATACGTTTCATAACCGCAGTTCATATATATGTATTTCATATGTTTGTTGTTTGATTTATCATCTACGGGTTTATGTCGAATTAATTTGATGGCCTGCTCCCAGTTGGCTTGTTAGCTCAATTGGTAGAGCGCTGCACTAGTATCGCAGAGGTCAGTGGTTCGAATCCCGTACAGGCCTGAATTTTTTTCAGGTCTGATTTTCACTATTGCTTAAATAGTGCTTTACTGCGAAGGATCGTGCACATATACGTTTCATAACCGCAGTTCATATATATGTATTTCATATGTTTGTTGTTTGATTTATCATCTACGGGTTTATGTCGAATTAATTTGATGGCCTGCTCCCAGTTGGCTTGTTAGCTCAATTGGTAGAGCGCTGCACTAGTATCGCAGAGGTCAGTGGTTCGAATCCCGTACAGGCCTGAATTTTTTTCAGGTCTGATTTTCACTATTGCTTAAATAGTGCTTTACTGCGAAGGATCGTGCACATATACGTTTCATAACCGCAGTTCATATATATGTATTTCATATGTTTGTTGTTTGATTTATCATCTACGGGTTTATGTCGAATTAATTTGATGGCCTGCTCCCAGTTGGCTTGTTAGCTCAATTGGTAGAGCGCTGCACTAGTATCGCAGAGGTCAGTGGTTCGAATCCCGTACAGGCCTGAATTTTTTTCAGGTCTGATTTTCACTATTGCTTAAATAGTGCTTTACTGCGAAGGATCGTGCACATATACGTTTCATAACCGCAGTTCATATATATGTATTTCATATGTTTGTTGTTTGATTTATCATCTACGGGTTTATGTCGAATTAATTTGATGGCCTGCTCCCAGTTGGCTTGTTAGCTCAATTGGTAGAGCGCTGCACTAGTATCGCAGAGGTCAGTGGTTCGAATCCCGTACAGGCCTGAATTTTTTTCAGGTCTGATTTTCACTATTGCTTAAATAGTGCTTTACTGCGAAGGATCGTGCACATATACGTTTCATAACCGCAGTTCATATATATGTATTTCATATGTTTGTTGTTTGATTTATCATCTACGGGTTTATGTCGAATTAATTTGATGGCCTGCTCCCAGTTGGCTTGTTAGCTCAATTGGTAGAGCGCTGCACTAGTATCGCAGAGGTCAGTGGTTCGAATCCCGTACAGGCCTGAATTTTTTTCAGGTCTGATTTTCACTATTGCTTAAATAGTGCTTTACTGCGAAGGATCGTGCACATATACGTTTCATAACCGCAGTTCATATATATGTATTTCATATGTTTGTTGTTTGATTTATCATCTACGGGTTTATGTCGAATTAATTTGATGGCCTGCTCCCAGTTGGCTTGTTAGCTCAATTGGTAGAGCGCTGCACTAGTATCGCAGAGGTCAGTGGTTCGAATCCCGTACAGGCCTGAATTTTTTTCAGGTCTGATTTTCACTATTGCTTAAATAGTGCTTTACTGCGAAGGATCGTGCACATATACGTTTCATAACCGCAGTTCATATATATGTATTTCATATGTTTGTTGTTTGATTTATCATCTACGGGTTTATGTCGAATTAATTTGATGGCCTGCTCCCAGTTGGCTTGTTAGCTCAATTGGTAGAGCGCTGCACTAGTATCGCAGAGGTCAGTGGTTCGAATCCCGTACAGGCCTGAATTTTTTTCAGGTCTGATTTTCACTATTGCTTAAATAGTGCTTTACTGCGAAGGATCGTGCACATATACGTTTCATAACCGCAGTTCATATATATGTATTTCATATGTTTGTTGTTTGATTTATCATCTACGGGTTTATGTCGAATTAATTTGATGGCCTGCTCCCAGTTGGCTTGTTAGCTCAATTGGTAGAGCGCTGCACTAGTATCGCAGAGGTCAGTGGTTCGAATCCCGTACAGGCCTGAATTTTTTTCAGGTCTGATTTTCACTATTGCTTAAATAGTGCTTTACTGCGAAGGATCGTGCACATATACGTTTCATAACCGCAGTTCATATATATGTATTTTCATATGTTTGTTGTTTAAAACAGAAATTGGTCTGTAATTATTTGCGTTCACCCGATTTAAAGAGTGGAGAGACCTTTGCTATTTTCCAATCAGATGGAAATACACCAGAGGGGATAGATAAATTAAATAAGTCTGTTAAGTTCTTATAGATAACAGGAGCAGCTATTTTTAAAATTATATTTGATATTTTATCGATTCAAGTTACCTTGTTAATTTTTACCCCATTCAATAATTTTAGCACACTGGAAGCTTCCACTTTTTTCAAATTAGAATCTTTTTTAGTCAAGAATTCTGTAGGAGTAATATCATCTTCATTGACTTGAATCTTTGAAGCTAAATTTGGGCCGATCGCTGCGAAGTGTTTGTTCATGTAATCTGTGATGTCCTCAGGATTTGTGATTGTCACACAACGGTCACTTTTCAATTCACTTATCTTTGTTGCGCACGACTTTTTTCCTAAGAGATCATTAAGCACTTTCCACGTCCCTTTTGATGACCAGATGCCTCGTTTAGCGTGACTGATAAAATCTTGTCTTTGCTAGTCTAATCTCTTTGTTGACTAAATTTCTTCAAGTTCTATAAGCCGTCCAATCTTCTAGCATACCGGTTTTGGTTGCTTTCCTTTTTAACCAATCTCGCTTAAACATCAACTGTTTGGACGAATGGATGGATGGGTGAATGGGTGAATAGTTAGATGGATGAATGGATGGCTGGATAGGTGAATGGATGAATGGATGGATGGATGGATGGATGGATGAATGAATAGATGAATGGTTGAACGAATGAATGAATGGATGAATGAATGGACAGTTGAATGAATGGATGGATATATGGATGGATACATCGATGAATTGATGGATGGGACAAAAATTGGTTAAAGTCCCCATGACGCTTATTTTTTATCTATTTTACTTAAAAAATTTAATGCTCTAAAACATGTTTTCGCAACAATTGCGTTATTTTACCCTTTTCTTAACTTTTTTTATGAAGCTCTATAATCCGCAGCTAAAATGTCGGGCCCAGCAATGAGGGACTGGGCACCGTTACTTCACGGTAACGAGCATGTGTTCTTATCATAAAAACGAGCGCGCCAAGAGACCACTTTCATAAATGGCTGCTGGATCAATATTCTTTTGTTTAAATTTAAATTTGCCTAGGTGGCCTCGTTCTCCAGTACAAAATTCAAAAGAATACATTATCTCAAGCGAGGCCACCCAGGCAAATTTAAATTTAAACAAAAGAATATTAATCCGGCAGCCATTTATGAAAGTGGTGTATGCACTCTGTAATTTCCCTGGCTATTTCAGTGATATTTTCATGTAACTATGTCTGATATTTCGTGTTGTTCTACGGAAATTTTCTCCTCCGATGATTCGGAGTTTATTTGGCATGTATTCCGGGATACGTGGCGATTGAAGCCGAAATTGCAACTCAAAGCGGTGAGATGGAGGACAGGGAAGAACATGGCAGGGCCATTTTCAAACGAGTCATTAGCGGACGAAGAGTGGACAAGAGATTTGCAACTAATCTGTGTTATAACACCTTCACGTTGTAAAAAATTCAATCTGAAATGAACTCACGACTGTGTGTTGCTTTTGTCTGATTGAGTTCCAGTCCATCCAGGCTTCATCACAGTTATTTTGACGAGTTTCCATTTTAACAACCATGATAAATACTTCTGTTGTACTTGAATTTTCTGCAAGGCTCCCAGATTATTTAATCCAGGCATTACGAAGGTTTCATCACTTCCGCGCTTCAGACTGCGACTGTCAATTGAAAAAGAAAACAAACTAATCTTTACAAACAAATGTACTTCCATCTTCGGGAATATCAATAAAGTTGTCGTTGTTATAATGTACTAAAGTCATACTTTTTAAACTGAGTTCTAATACCTTTGGAGCAGCACGAAATCTGATTCTCCATTTGATCCAATTAATTTGACCACAATGCGAGCCCGAAATAGCCCCACAGGCCAGGACCAAGACGTCTTGAATGTGATTACGGTGTAATAAGGAACTACAATGAGAAAATTAAAGAAACTATTTTAAAATTTCTTTTAAAAAAATTGGGAGGCGAATATGAATAGCACGACGAACAGTTACGTAGTAGTCGTTTAGTTGGTAGCCTTGTAAAATTCAATTTCTACACAAATTAAAGCGAGGCCGACTGTTTTTTAATTCTGACGAGCTGATCTGGAACAGATTAAATCGTTTTCCGTATAAACCACTTAGTATAGCTTATCAATTGGAAAAACACCAAAATTAGGAAAACATGCATGACCAACACTGAAACGGTGATGGTTTTCCAGGGTGTAAAATTAATTTCAGAACATTCTTCTCCGGCTTGGCCTCAAACGTTTCGTAGCTGCTCTTCGATGATCATTCTTGTGTATGATGGAGCCTAGATTTTCAGGCCCGAGCAGAAGACGATAAACACGATATTTACCGCAAAATGGTGCACTTTTTGTAGTATATAAGAAATGTCTTCCCAGTATTTTACCACCAGCACTGTACTCTTCAGCGTAATAACCCATTTCGGGACAGTTTCCATTTTTGCACTGGAGACAGCGAGCGCGATCAAATCCGTTGGAATCACTACAAGGGAATCCTTTCATGGAATGCATGCACTGCTGGGACAGTGAATAGATGAAGTAATCTGTGGCTCGAAAATGATCGCACAAAAGGGGACTCAGGATACCTGAAAGGAAAATATATGATAAATTATAAAGTATTCGCCAAGGAAAGAAATTCAACCCGTGAGAAACAGCACACAATGATATAGTCTGTATAATCCGACAGTTTAAGGACCGATATCAGTGCCAAACAAAAAAAACAACAACAACGTTGTTGCAGGCCGCTCTTCCTTGGATAATTAATGATTGTATCATGCAAAATCATAATCGTTTACCATTACTGAAACTTGAACAGCCTGTTTGGTCCAATCCGCCATTAGGATAAAAGTCCAAATGACCGGAAGTTTGATACAAACCAAAGCGGTCACCGTCTGTATGGATGGCGTCGACAAAATGAGCATCGGTGGGGTCCAGTCTTACCGCGGGGTGTGTTGTTGAAAATAGTGGCCCAGCAGGGTCCAGGCCTTCGTGGGTTTTGCATGTAGAAGAGGTGAATATCAAATAAATATATGAATAAATAAAATGATGCATCATTACAAACAGCTAGAAAGTATTGATATGGTTTGAGATAAGGAAATGATAATATTCTGTGCTTTGTCCGTATATGATATACCTCAGTTGTTCAGAAGTGGCCATAAAGTTCTCACGTATCAACTTTCTCAATAGGGACTTTAAGCAGTCAGTACGGAAACGCCACGGAAGACGTCGATTAAAAAATGAGTTTCTACTTTTAGTTAGAATTTCGAAAATGGCTGCATGTGTTTACCGTCTCATAGGGCGCCAGACCTCAAACTCAACATAACGCATAAAAGTAGCGTTGAGATCCAAATGTAAATTAAAATAATTTGCCGCCGCGGTTTCGCTTCGCAGACGACGCAAATTTTGGTGATTTCACGTTGTTGTTTTGTAAAAGACGGCTAAGAAATGTACAAAGTTTTAATACGCACGTGATGGGCTATTGTTCTGCCAATTAAATTTATTGTTTTTCCACGTTCTCGTTGCCGTAGCAGTCGTGGTTTGCTTAAAGTCCCTAATTGTAACTGTAATACAGTTTTGTACGATCCCTCGGCTAGATACGATACTGAACACAGTTTCACATTTTAACAGTACGATTGGTAATCGTTACAAACACGATGAAACGCAAGTAGTTTTTTTCCATTGAAAGGCGATTTGAGCATGCGCATTCTATTCGGAACTTACCTGTTATTCTTGGCAGTATTAGCCCCTCTTGTTTTAGTCTTCTCCCACAATACCCAGCGATATGAGAACCAAGGCTGAAGCCCACAACGTGAAATAGGTCCACGGAGCTATGGGTCTCAGAAATGAGGAACTTAATCAGCTCTGCTATCATGGCCCCCACCAGTCGTGTGTTCCCTGCTGCTTGCAAATAGGGAGGAAGGCTACCAGTGTACCAGTCTACTAATATTACATTGCAGTCGAAGTTCCTTAGCAAGCCATCCCTTATGTATTCCATCCATTTAGGCCTGATCTCTAAAAATTTGGCCAAGAATTATAATAATAGCGATGAAAAATTAAAAATCAGAAAGAGATAAATCTGCACTAATCCAAATGGCGAGCTTTTTCTTTTTTCAATTCTTTCTCGGAGCTTCATAAACAGCAGCTTTCATTTCTCACCATTTATTGTTGAACCTTAATAATCTTCCCTCCAATTTGATATCCCCTGCCCAACCCCCACTCCCCTTATCCTTTCTGCGAACCATAGCATGACCTTCTTATTTTACTTGTAGCTCTAAAGCTTCCTATAGGGACCTGTCGTTACTTATCGACGATGTAGGGAGAGGAGGTCTGTAAGATTCTTATGATTCCCCCTCACTGGCAGTTAATTGGCAGTCAACTTTTTATAGTTTACCCTTTTGTTGATTACTGATCTACCCTTCGTTCCCCCTTAAAACCATGTGATCTCCCCCCCCCCAAAAAAAAATTATTATAAATAATGACTGGTTTATTAAAAGCCATGTCACTGCGACTTTCACTTGCAAGATTCTCCAATTTTTATCCACGAGTATGCTTCCAACAAATACAATTTCTTGATGCACATTTAAACAATTTATTATAAATTCACCGTAGCGAGCTCACCAACATATCCATGGACTATTAAGACGGTCTTTTTCGTCCCGTTGTAGTTCGACTGATGAAGTTTGGTCAAATCGTTATCATCGATAAATTGTGGAGTATCTAGATGAGATCTGGTGTAAAGGCGAAATTTGGGACTCACTATCCAGGGGGGGAGAGGAAGTAGAACGATTCTGTTGAATGGTGCTTTGTTGCTGAAGCATCCGTACTTTCCATAGCACCTTGAACTTTCAGCTGATCCGGGTACAATATAAAAGGATATAAAGATGTTGTTCGTAATGTCAAGAAAGTGGGAGGAGGAAAATAGGTTTTCTACCCATTTCTACACTCCTTCACTACAAAGAGCTGAAGAAAGCTACGAAAACTTAGCCATTTATCAAGTGAGTATGTGACACTAGTCTTTCTCGTGGCCATGATCAGCAAAACCGAAATATCGGTTTTGTAAATTAATAAATAAAACTAAAGACGAACCTCTTTATAAAGCGCTAAGATATTTAGAAATGCGCAGTCAAAAGTTATGATTCTCTTTGACTTGAATACATATCTAAGTTTTTTCGATCTTAAAGAGGCCGTTTTGTTTTTCAAAAATTCCCTTGTGTCACAAAACATTGTTTTCAAAAGACATCTGTGTCTTCAATTGTAGTTGTGGATATCTTACTTCCAAATAAACATATTTACACAGGGGTGAGGTCTCATCGACGAATTTTTAAACATCAAAGCAACGATCATGAGTTTAATACTTTAGTTCTAGCAGATAAATGAAGACGCTGGTCGAAATATACTTCTGCAGCCATGTTTTAAACGAGGACTAATTTATCTCGTCCGAATGCAACGTTAGCTACTCAAAGAATAGAAGAATGGGATTGTTATGGGAAAGTATGTACACTTACCTTTAGCTGCGTCATTTAGCTTTGTGCAAATGATTAAAAAAAAGGAAAAGAAACCTAAGTTTTAAATTTTACACTTGATACTCACCGCTCGTCAACCCTGCTACTATGAAAGCTATTATAAATGCAAAAGCGCTCATGTTTTTGGCCCCACAATAGCCTTAATGTATAGTAGTGGTTCCTGATTGACTTATTGCGATTTAGAGATGAAGTCTGCTGGGTAAGTAATCTTATTTTGAACTCAGTACTTTATCAAAGAAAGACCTCAGCTGTGCAAACAAACCAAATCGATTGTTTTAAAAATAAAAAGCTTATTCTTAACTCAGTAGGAGATATTGTTTGATTTTCGTTTCCGTTACATCACTGGTTGTGAGACGGTTTTCAACACAATATCTTTTTTATTCCAATGATTACAAAAGAAAAATAGAGATAAAATTTTCAAAAGCCTTTTGAGTAATTTTTTATGCCTAAATTTTCGTCTTAATGCTGGAACCAAAGATCCCTTCATATCATTGCTTTTTAAAGTTGTATTTGTGATATTTCAGTTGATTATTTGACGCTTCATGGATTTCAATATGATTCTACTTTTATGTAGCCGCCTCCTCAGTCCGACTAAATCGTATTTCTGTTTACTGTCGATTTGGAGAGAGTTTAATTTTCAGTCGGGGAAATCAATACCGAATTCAAAATCAAACTTCATCGTGTAATCTATTTGATCAGCCTAGGAAACGTAAACACTCAGAAATGACAAAAGAACATTTCAAAAATATTTTTTTTAGAGAGGCTGTGTAATGTATCGGTTTTACCTTTAATGGGATAATTTATTCTACAAGCAACTGGAAATAATCTTATTTCTTTATCTTCTGGGTTGAGGCAATCTATAATTATCAGGTGAACACCAAGACGTTTTGATCGGATAGAAAGTAAACCAAGCTAAATATATCAATACGCATTCGCAAAGCGCGACTTACTTCATTAAAGACACGAAACAGCTGAGCAATCAGTTTCCTCGTGTTGGCCCAGAATTGAAATTGTCTAACACTTAGTATGATGAAACTATTTTTATTATTATTCTTCTTGTTTGCGAGTCAAAATTTTATGAGCCAGACATTTATCTGCGTTTTTTTTTCTTATTTTGTTGTTTACCTTTATTTTCCACTAGGAAAAATCTAGGCGAATAGTAACGTTAATGCAAATGCATCAGTACCGTGAAGAACTGCTTATGATAGCTATAGAAGCTTTTGTTGTCTTAAGTTTGTTTTCTGTGGTCAGTATTTTTAATGATAGGCTCTTTGCATCAGATAATAGATAGTTGGCAGAATTTTAAAGGTCGAGAATTGTCTGTCGCAGCAAAGTGTTTTGCGATCTTTATGTCTGCCCCTCCCCCTTTCCACAATAGCCCATTTCCGAATTACCCTTGGCCTCATTTTCAAAACGAGTCCCGGTGCTCATCCTTTCATATGATAATAAGCTTTCATTCACATCCAAATTAAACTCATTTTCACAAGAATGGTTGAGCACCAGGCCTCGTTTTGAAAAAGAGGCCAAGTGTAGTTCGGAAATGGGCTATTGGACGTTAGGTTTCAATGGTCTGTACCATCGCGCAGGGTTTACTTAAAAGATCCGCCCAGACCAGTGTTGTTCACCTAAAGTTTCCATCAAAGAGAGTCTCTCAGCCAACCCTCCAGTTTTTATTCATTTTGAATGCCTACTTATCCAATAAACAAACAAACAAACTATCGCATTTTTCATTTGCAGTTACAAAAGACTAAAAAATGTCCCTGTCGAAAACAGAGGCACATTGTGCACGACTTGGGCTTCGTTAAAGTAAAACTAAAAACAGAACTAAACTACTACAACACCGTAATCATAATTCTCTATTCACCAAAGTAGTAAAAGCAGAATTTCTTCACCAGCGAATCAGACAGCATTTTTTTTACCATGGAAGCGACCCTACGGACCACAGAAGATTATGACACAAATTAATCAAAAAAATTGGTCCACGTGCGGTTGTTCTGCAAACTGCACATGCCAGTGTCATTAACTGAAACATACTTTAAATTTCGGAAATATAAGTGATACGGTTGAACCATAAATCAAGGATGATCAAATGCTAAACAGTTTTCTATGGCGAAACACGAAAAGGAACGAGTGAGACCCACATACCACAGAACGGAGCTTGGTGGTTTGTGTCCAGATAAAATTCTCCAGTTCGTTTGGTTTTGTCGGCAAGGTACCCCATAGTGGGACATTCCCCATTGCAGGTCATACACCTTCGTTTCTCAAAGTCAGAGTATCTTCCACACGGATACGCTTTCCAGGAACAATCTGGTTCGTCTTTCTTTGGTTCAATTGTTGCAATGTAGTATTCTGTAGCCCTCATGTGGTCACAGGCGAGATTCTTCAAGGAGTCTGGAGAACAGTCAGGCATAACTGTTTGAGTTTTAATGAATATCGCAATGTGATTATTAACTAGAAAAACCGCACATTTTTAGCCATATTGAACTCAGTACTCTATGCCCATAGCGAAAAATTAATTATGTTACTTGAATAAACTCCGCTATTAGGCTTAGGGACTGTTCATTTCTCACCGCCTGGTGCCGGTTCGGAAACAAAGCGGTCAAATGACTGCACATGCGCACTTAGATGGATAATTCGTTATTGTAAACAGGGAGAATTTTAAGTTCAGTATAAGTTTTTAAGGTCGAGATTTACGCGCATTGTTGTTCTAAACTTTACTCAGTTTTTGTTAGTTTACACTCTCATAATTTTTTTTACACTTTGCACGGCGTATGAAGGTAAATCGTGGCCGAATTTTTCCACTTAGGTGAATTGTTCCCCCTCTTAGGCGACAAATAATGACTGTTGCCTTTTTATAGTAAGAGTAAATACAACATGTCTTACCACATTTGATCGCAGGTTATGATTTCTTGTTATAACTCATTCACATACCTAGCCCTAGCCGATCGGATTTACAACCAGGCTGACTTTTTCCCCCATTTGGATAAAAGTCCGTATGACCTGTCGCTTTGTCCGTCCCAGCGACATCCATGTCTGTGTGTATGACGTCAACATACTCAGCGTCACTTGGGTCCAATCGGTAGTTAACATCGGCGTTCCTAAAAAAAGGATTAGCTGGATCTAATCCTGTGAAGAGAGATATTCACCACGGGCTCAGGTCAGTAAAATAGAGGATTGCAAGGGTGACCGCTCTCTCTTGAGCATCCAAAACAGCGACAAGTGCTGAATGCAAAGGCCAAAATCACTTAACTAAGCGCAAGTTTGTTAATGTTAATCAGATCTGGAAAACACAGGTTAAAACGACGGTTTCTATGTTTTAATTAATGGCAACTTATCTCAGCAGAGAAGTTTTCCATTAGGATTTTAGTATCTGTCACAGTCTGAAACAGTTTTTTCCCAGAAACCTACCTGTAATACGACTAAGTGTCATCTCGGCTTTATTCCTTAAGTAGCTCCCTGCATACCCCGCTGTCTGGGCACCGAGGCTAAATCCCACAATATAGAACTCCGGTTCATGTGATCTAGCATCGCTAGAAATCAGGAACCTTATCAGCTCTGCTACCTGAGCCCCTACCAGTCGAGTGTTTCCAGCAGCCTGTAGATAGCTCTTTAAGAGATCAATGTTTGGTTGGTTTTTTGCTCCTTCAGACCAATCCACCAAAATCACATTGCAATCTTCCTGATTTAGAAGGGCGTCTTTCATTCTCACTGCCCAGGTATCTTTACCTTCTATATATACAGTAATTTACAAAAAAAATTAAAAAAGAAATATTTGAAAAATGATATTATATGTAAATAACTGATATCTCTTGAAACGTTTTGCTGTGTAGTATCGCTGAGTATTTTTACGAGTTGTGCCGTATTTTGACGAGCCAGTGAGGCCAGTCAAAATACAAACAACGAGTAAAAATACTCAGCGATACTACACAACAAGACGTTTAATAAGAGATTTATCATTCAACACACCAAATTGTTATTTCAGTGTGAGCGAATTTCGCGGATATTTGATTTACGAGGGGTGCGTGATATTCTCTGGAGTAGAAATACAGCGAGATATTTTTACTCGTTCTGGGCGTTATTTGTACCCTGTGAAGCATAGTTGGATAATAACATGTCGTTATGAATACTTATGTAAACTTTGAAAACAGATAGAATTTAAAAGCAAAACAAACAGCGAAGCGAAACGAAACGGAAACACATGAGAAACAAAACCAGAAAAAAAGTAAAACATAAACGAAAAATATCCAGAGACCTGTAAAGAAGAGAATAAATACTAAAATCAGATATTGAATTATTTTTTTGTCACTATAGCTCGTTTGTGCCTTACGTATTGGCTTTTATATGCATGTATGCTAGAATTTGGTCAATTTATGCTGTACAAAGCACGGCCAATATATAAGTCCTTGTACTGCAGGCAGTAAGGGTACTCACCATTGAAACCGTGAATTATAAATATCGTGCGTCGTGAGATGTCGAAGTCTGAGCCCATTAGGTTCGTATAATCTTCATCATCAACTGTCAAAGAGCCACCTCGAGTAAACAAGTGAAATGTTGTGCCAACAGTGGATGGAGATTCTGGTAAACTTGGGCGGCGAATGAAGATGCTCCATCGAACATTTGGTTGTTCCTTGAATGTGCCGTACTTTCCATAAGTGACCTCTTTGGGCTCACGGTTAAAAAGCAATCCTGCAATATTTGAATGAAGGTGATTTAATGTTATCTAAAAGCTTAGAGGTCCATCTAACCGGTGTTTATCTCGCGAGTTCCGCATCATTCGTCACATGAAAGTATTGCCACTAGCTAGCTATTCGTTATATCTAACTGAAAGTTCGCTGGTAGCCACCAAATCACACTACTTTCCTCAAGCGTTGATTTTGACAAATTAAATTTATGACTATTGATAAATGCTTTTACGCAAGTGCATCGGTGGATGACAATTAACCCACGCTCCGTACTGGCCGCCAATACAACGCAGTATTTGGGTCTCAAAACTGCAGTTAAACTCCTTAACCTAAAACATTTCGCCCAGAAATAGCGACCTCGTGGGTGTTATATCAAGAGTCGTCAATAGGTAATCGATCAATATTCATCGCTGGAGGGAGGGTCGGATGATGTCGCTTGTGTCTCGATAAAATTTACCTGATACCCCCTTCGTAACGTTTATCTGACTCCCTCCTGCCAATAAATTGGCAGTCAATTTTCTATATTCCCTCTTTATACTCTGTTGGTGACGACTGCTCCCCCTCCGTTCCCCCTGAAAGGCGTGTGATCACCCCAAAACTCCTCCTCCCCTCAGGCGATGAATAATAGGTACCTTAAGAAACCACGACGGCGACGCCAAGGAAGACTACGATAAAAAAATGAGTTCTACTCTTAGTTAGAATTTCAAAAATGGCTGCAGGAGCTTACTGTCTCATACAGCGCCACAGCTCAACTTCAGCATGACGTATAAAGGAGCCGTTGAGTTCCAAATGGAAATTTAAATAATTTGCTGTCGCAATATGACGGAAGCTGACCCGCAACTACAAACAATGCATTATTTACCCACTCGTTGACAACCAGAATGCTGATGAAATTAACTAAGCACGAGACGATGCAATTGCTCTAGTTATTTTCAAACCGGACAGGAAATCTGTATCACATGCTCCTAAAACGCCAAGGTGTTTCAATTGTCTTGAAACAAAAGCTATAACCTGTCTCAGTTTGGTGCATTGTAGGGTTTTCTAAACATACTTTAAGAAGAAACCTGCGACCACATCCTTTTGTTGAATGAGCAAATTCACAAGCTAGAAAGTTCGGCAAAGACGTTGATATTTTCATCGCTTATAGTAACCTTTCGAATTAAACGCCGTGTCGAGTCAACGTGGCCTTGCCATTTGAAAGAAAAAGAAATTGTCGGATAAATTCGTATGTAACATTCGGTCCACGCCAAGATGTAAAGAGAACCTACCGACAACCTGTTCCTTTTTTACGAAGTATGAATGTTGTGTCGTGGAAGGATTATATAATATGAGCGGAAATTTAAAAATAAACACAATCATGATCATTTGCAATCTAATGAGCAATATTGTTTATCTTTGTTTCTATGATAGCGTCAACACCAGCCTAACATGATTCCAAAGGGTCTATTTTGAAACGAAACATTTAATTTCACATTTTATCTCACTTGCATTTAACTGTATGACTCATCTTTTCTGTATTCTATAAGGAATTTTTCAATTTTGGGCAACTGATCAGAACGCGAATATTGATCACCCATGCGAGAAATCATTAAAGAGCTCTCGT